CTCTCTAATCTCCTGATAGTATCCTAATTCAGAGCCTCATATCAACCTATCATCGGCACGGCTGTAACAACTAGCCTAATAACTGGTCCCCGCATTTAGCCTCTCCCTACCCCAAAATATATATTAAATACTTCTGCCAGGTTAATTTTCCTAATGTACAACTCTGATTTTTTTATCCCCTTGCTCAAATGCCTTACAATCTACAAAATAGAGTCTAGACTTACCAGCCTAGCATTTAAAAGTAGGATCCACCACAATCTATGTTTAAAATCTGATTATCCTCTACTTTTTCTCAGCTATTTTGTCCTTTGTTTTAACTCACATTTTTCTCCTCCCTAATTTTGTGCTTTCCTGCCTGGGAAATGGCCTTTCCTTCCTTCTCTGCTGTTACAGATTCTACACTTCCTTCAAGGTCCAAGGTCTAGCTCAGTGTCACATCCTCCGCAAAGCCTTCTCTTAATGTCTCATCTGGAAGTAACTACTTCCACCTCCAAAGTGCTCTGAAGGACATTTTGAAAATGCCTCTTTCTCAGCTTTCTTCTATTTCTTATTTTCCCTATCAACTTCTTGAGAAGAAGATCCTACTCTAATTTGCTTTTGTATTTTCCAATTGAATAGCACAGTAATATTTGCATGTTAAATAAATAAATAAATACTGTACTAGTATTTTTCTATACTGTAGCTAGACATCTGCAAAAAAAGAAAAAAGTACATTGAAAAGGAATACATATTTATATCTAGGTAACAATATAAAAGAATCTTTTCTAAGAAAGATATCAGAGTATTTACTTTAATCAATATATTCTATTACAAAGCTTGTGCATAGTTTTTAATGGCCAAACATACCCAATTTTTTCATTTTCACAGTCTTTATTACTAATACTAGGAAATGCTCATGATTTGGCTCTAGATATTTGAAATAAGATTTGAAACACCATCAATTCTAAATATGACCAAAGTGAACCCAGAATCTGGTAATTTATTTCCTGAAAAATAGAGTTAATGTCAATGTTTTACTATGAACCTTTGAAATCATTATCGAATTCGTTTTTTTTCATGTGTGCCTAGTGAAGTTCTTGGTACATAAACACTCACCAAATATTGAATGAATCAATCAACAAGAGTGCTGATAGTAGTTTAGTTACTACCCTTTGAGTGGTAATCATTCACCAAGAAATTGAGCTGATAAAGAGATGCATAGAAAATAGGTGCTCAGTAAATATTTGTTGAGTTTAATTCATATAATTTTAGAGCTCACCAGTCATAGTGATTCATGCCTCTAATCCCAGCACTTTGGGAGGCTGAGGCAAGAGAATCGCTTGAGGCCCAGAGCTCAAGACCAGCCTGGGAAATATAGTGAGACCTCCATTTCTAATTTTAAAGATAGATAAATAGATAGATAGACATGTACATAAATATATAGAGATATATAAAAGTAAATTTAAAAAATATATTTGAATATATAAATTTATATATTTGAATATGTAAATATATATCTATAAATATATGTGGTACATATGGATATATATTTATAAATATATTGGCTATACCTCTACTAATATTTTAATATATAAATATATGACTATATAAATATATATTAAAATATAGATAGCTATATATATAGTATACATATCTATATATGTATATATCATTTATATATTTAGATCTATATATCTATCTAATATATATACATAGATAACATATACATATGCATATATACATATAGATAGACATATATATCTGTGGATATATAGATACATACATATCTATAGTTATATAATTTTAGAGCTGGAGAGGACCTTAGAGATGATATACCTTCTGGTTATTGCTCTCTATGAGTACACAGAGCTTTTTGCATATGCTTATTATGCTTATTGAAGCACACGTACTAGCAAGTACTTAGTTTTCTTCACGTTAACTCCTTGAAGGCAAAGATGTGATGACACACCTTCCCCACCTAGCCGGATGCTTGCTTGGCAGATTGTAGGCACTTAAATGCTGGCTAAATGAGTGAATGAGAGTGATTCTAGACCTCTGCTATCCAATATGGTAGCCATTAGCCATATGTGGCTATTTCATTTAATTATAATTAAATAAAATGCAAAATTCAGTTCTTTAGTCATACCTACTGCATTTCAAGTGTTCAGTCACCACATGTGGCTAGTGACTACCATATTGGACAGAGCAGAGAATATTTCCATCATTGCAGAAAGTTCTGTTGGACAGCGTTGATCAAGACTATTTCCCTCACTCTGCAGAACAGAGTGAGTTCAGGGAAGTTTTTACTTGCTCAAAATTAAACCATCAGAAGCAGAACTGAGATTAAAACTGGGAACTCCTAGCTCAACATCCATTGTTATTGAGTCATACCTCTGATTCATTTCAGAATTCTAATGGTATGTAGCCTTAACTTAAAGCTCCATATGAGCTTATGGACATTATGGGAAACATTGTCTTTATCTTATCATTGTCATAAAAGCAATTTTATTTTTGTATCTTACTTGATCAATTTGCATGTTTTATAAAAATATTTATAACGGGCCAGGCACAGTGGCTCATGCCTGTAATCCCAGCACTTTGAGGGGCCGAGGCGGGTGGATCACAAGGTCAAGAGATCGAGACCATCCTGGTCAACATGGTGAAACCCCATCTCTACTAAAAATACAAAAAATTAGCTGGGCATGGTGGCGCGTGCCCTTAATCCCAGCTACTCAGGAGGCTGAGGCAGGAAAATTGCCTGAACCCAGGAGGTGGAGGTTGCAGTGAGCCGAGATCATGCCATTGCACTCCAGCCTGGGTAACAGGAATGAAACTCCGTCTCAAAAAAAAAAAAAATTATATATGTGTACATATATATATGTGTGTGTGTGTGTGTGTGTGTGTGTGTGTGTGTGTGTATATATATATATATCAGGTTAAAAAAATGTACTTGGAAGTTCTTTACCTCTGGTATAAAAGGAAAAAATAATGCTAATTTTAAAAATGTTTTCCAGGTATCTAGCTAAATAAAAAACTACAGTATTCTGGTTTTGTGCCAATTTACTCAGAAAATGCATAATGTAGGCTCTGGTTGAATGTGCTTTTTGCTTTGGTTTTTTTTTCAAAGCATTCCTCTTTGATTTATTAATTTTTGAAAATTGTTTAGATCCAAATTACTTTTTTCAGAAAACAAAGGGGATTTTTTTATTTGAAAACAAAGGTCATATTTAATTACAACATCACCAGATATGTGAGTGCATACCAAAGAACTGTTAGAAAATTGGTGTTAAAAAAGCAAAAAGTACAATGACAGAAAACATGATATAGTGCACCTCTAAGCAGATGATGCAGGCTAATTGGATAAAAACACACACCTCCCAACCATTTCTACATACACATATGTGCAGGTTATATAAGCAAAGTAAATCAACAAATTATTAAGATTTTCCAGATTTGGAATTTCAGGTGGGTTTCGTTTCAATTCATAAAAGATTTTCTCAACTGTTTTGGAAAGCATCAGTATTTTCTAAAATGCTCTCTCTTAGAAAAAGAGACTCATTTTCTATAACGTCCATAAATATGTGTGTTTATGAAATTAGTATTTAGTATTTCCCAAAAAGAGAAATCCAATTCTGCCTGACAGTACAGGAATAATTATATGAGGTCAGAAGTGATCATCTTCAGAACTATCCTAACATTAGAATGTGAAGGAGGCAAGGAAGGGGCTGCCAAATTGAGTTTGAGATCCCCCACATGCTATCAGTCTAGTGTTCTCAGGGATATTACAATTGCTCAAAGAACACATTTTGATCCACTCTATGTTTTGACTGGAAAGAAGTTGTTGGATAAATATTGTGGTTTCTGATAGAAAAGTATATAGTCTAGTGTCTGCTTTTAAGAACTACAAAGGCAATTTGCCATCTTTTCATAGAGATTTGAAAATTAGATAAAAAAGAACTAGTTATGAAAGAGATCAAGTTTTAGAATTAAAGGAGGTACCTTAGAAAGTATCTGGTTCTTTCCTTGAAAGCCTTTATTCTCCTGTCAGACAGACTAGTAATCAAGATGATAAAATGTCAGTACTCAGGTATTAGTAGCATCCCTATTCAACCACAGGACCAAAGAGAGAGTTGTTTGTTTTAACTGTCATATTTCCTTTGATGTAAAACAAAAACCTTTTGCTTGGCTGGGAATGCAATTATTCAAGCTCCTATCTCATTCTCTTATAATCGATCCTCAATAAGTCTAGTCAAATTTGGTTTTAGGCAATGGAAAATTAAAGCAAGTATTTGATTCAATTTTGTTAGAATATATGCTTTTTCAAACAACCCAATAATAGCATGTTTCCCAAAAAAAATCATCTATAGGGGAAAAAAAGTCATGGACTCCTGCTGTCGATTTAAATTATTGTAATTATAATGTTACCTAAATGTATATTACACATAAAATTCAATATCTTATAAAATTTTATATCATTATAAAACAATATAAATTTACAAATTAAATCCAACATAATGTCCTAAAATATGTTTTAAATTAACAATTTTTGAATGTTCACTTACTCAGAAAACATTTATTTGAGGATCTAGTCTGTTCCAGGCACACAGTATATAATTCTAGTTGTTATAGCAAACACATCCCAAATTTCAGTGGCTTAAAAGATTAAACATTTAAGTGAATAAGCCAGTTACAGAAGAACAAATATTGTGTGATTTCATTCATAGAGTAGTCAAACTCATAGAGATGCAAGGTAGAACAGTGGTTTCCAGGGTCTGGGATTGGGGGAATGGGGAGTTATTGTAAAATGGGTACAGAATCTCAATTTTGCAAGATGAAAAGTGTTCTGGAGGAGGATGGAGGTGATGGTTGCACAACAATGTGACTATACTTAATGCCACAGAACTGTACACTTAAAAATGGTTAACATGATCAATTTATGTCATATGTATTTTCCACAATCTTTTAAAATAGTAATTTTAAAAAAACACACATAGCAAATTAAATGCTAATTTTTCACTTACCTCACAGACTGATAACCTGGTTATAAATTGCCAATAGGGATCCAGACAGGTAGAGGCTTTCCCATCTTCCACATCTGGCATCTGGCATCATCCTTGATGTCAATATCCAGCCATCAAATGGGAGAAGAGTGAAAGGATCACATGCAAGAGGTTTTTATGGGCCAGGCCTGGAAGTTGCACACATTCCACTGGCTGGAACTGAGTCTTGCAGTAGCACCTGATTGCAAGGAAGACTGGAAAATATAGTCGAACTGCGTACTCAAGAAAACGGCTTTTGTGATGACCTAGTAATCTATGCCATAGTCCATCCATTTGGTCACCAAAAAAAGCCATTTCACTCTTCTTCCCAAATAAATAATACACTCATTCTGTCACCAAATGAGATAACCTAAAATCTACCCTGTCATTGCATCAAGTTCAAAGTGCAGGATTCCCATGTAATACACAGGATCCTCCATCAGATCTGAATGGAGATTTTGATTTTGTCCCCCAGGAGATATTAGGGAATGTCTGAAGATATTTTTGATTAACATAACTGGGAATGAGGGACAATTAATGGGTAGGGGACAGGGAACCTGATAAACCTTGTACAATACAAAGGACAGCCCCACTACAAATAATTGTCCAGTCTAACATTTTAATTAGAGCTATGACCTATGAACTAATAAAATATCTTCCCTCACTCACACCCAATATATAATGATAGAACAAATATAGTAAATACTTCCAGGTAGGAAAGAGGGAAAAGTGGGACCCTGGCCCATCACAAAAATGAAATTCTGCAGAGAGGCATTGTGGTGGCTCTGAGCTGGCAATGGGAGCTGTTTCTCAGCTAGACCGTTTCCCTTCTCTGTGAGGAATCTGCTTATCTGTTGTCCTCTGTGGTCCCTGGCTCTGACCTCTGGAAATTTTTCCTCTAAGCCTGCATTTGAAATGAGTATAGAGGAATGTGATTTTCTTGAGGAGAGTACAACTTTTAATGCAGTCTCAGTCTCATAATTTCTTTAGCAATACAGTACTTCAAAAACTGAAAAGTCTTTGATCTTTTTGCTTCCAGTCAGTTCCATATGCCAGCAACACTAAGGTTTCCTAGAGAAAATTCTCAATCTTATTTCTTTCCTTCTTCATTCCATGCCTCTCTTCCTCTCAATTTAAGGAGGCTACTTTGAGACCACCAGGCTTAAATGTGAAGACCACATTCTAAATAAAATCTTTGCTTCATGGCTGAGTCTTAACAGGCCCTTGTTGCTCAAGAGGTTTTTCAATCTTATTTCCTATTCATTGAAGTATAGAGCAGTTAGGTTTTCCAACCTTTTGAGGCTCCAAATTTCTGGACTCTCTCTATATTCCTTTTCATTTATGCTTGCAAACCTGCTAATTATTGCATGAGTGCATCTCATGTTTCTAATATCTTACTGAATGCAGCCAATAAATATAACCTACTAACATTCCATTTTCCAATCTCTTCTAGAACTATGGGTTTTGTAGGTACCTTACCTTTTTTCCAAATTACTACAGGTATAAGGTTGATGGGAAAGCTTCCCCTCTGCCTTCTGAAGGTTTGCCGAAATGACTGAAAATAGACAGAGGGGAAAATCAATTCACAGGAGAAAATGCATACAAATTTATTAATGCACATGGACAGAGTAGCAGTGCAAATATGAGACTCAAAGAAAGACCAGAGGGTTGAGACTTAAATATCCTCTTCATAGGGGAAAGGTAAAGGGGGAGTGTACACAGTTTTAAGCGGTAGTAAATGCTTTTCAAGAGAATTGAATAAGCCTGTAAGAACTGTCACACCTCTGGCAGCAAGCAGTCTTAGCACACATCTATTCACCCTATTGTTTTACCTGAGAGTTAAAACAGTAAGGATAGGCCTATAAATTCAGATCATTTCAAAAAATATGTATTGAATACCCACTAGGTACTGGGATATAAAGAAAAGATACACAGATGATCAGCAAATCACCTCTGTCTTTAAGAAACTTGCATTATAAGTACTGGAGTAGATGCTTAGACCTGCTGTCTTAACATTCATTCCACCATCCTATTCATTCCACCACCTTTCAGTTGGAAAACTGAAAATTACATTTCTCAGACTCCCTTGACACTCAAGTTTTAGGTGCAAATAAGGCCTGTCAAATAAATGCCCTTATGAAAACACAGGTACAAGTGAAATGGAGGCTCTCTCTTGCTGCTGTGTCACTTGCAAGCAAGGTGTGATGACATGTCTGTGGCATTCAAACTCCTCACAGTCTTGATAGCTGTGAGAACCAGTGGCGGTGACGGCGGCAGCGTGTTCTAGTGTCAGCATCCCATCCCAGCTACAGTGTATGTTAAAATAAGCTAGCCTTATGCTGTAGTGACAAGCAACCCCCAAAATCTCAGTGGCTTAATGTAAAAAAGTTTCTTTCTCACAGACAAAAATGTTTCCTGCAGGTGTGGGCAGTTGCTTTCCATGTGCTGACTCAGAGATCTGGGCTACTTCAATCTAGTGGCTGCTACATCTTAACCCAAGGCCTCCTCCACGACTATTGTGGCAGGGAAGAGATAGTCTAGAGAACTGCTCAAAGGCTTTTCACTGTCTCATCCTGGAAGTGACACTTCTCACATTTTATTGGTTACAACTCATCACAAGGCCCCACCCAACTGCAAGGGAACTGGGAACAGTAAATTCCCATATGCTCAGAAGTAAAGGAGGACCAGATACTAGTGGACACTAGCAATGTTTACCACAAGGCATGTGACTTTGAATTCAGCAGGCTGCTCACCTCAACTCCTCCAGCCCTTCTACAGCTTTCAGAAGCAATGAATTGCCTGGATGGAATCCCTTTGTTTTTCTGAAATATCCAGAATGGTTTTGGCTTCCTACGGTGAACCCTGACTATATCATTTGTGTGCTGGTGGCTTTCCATCCTCTTCCATCCATTCTATACCTTTCAGTGCCCTACTTTGTGACCCAAGAGTCTGTCCTCTATGAACTGTATGTTCTGGTGCCCTCTACCCTCTGGCCTTGATTGGTGTTGGATCATGGGAGGCACCACCAAGAGATCAGAAAGTAGGAGATGAGAGAAATCAGGATATTTGTCCCCTCTTCCTTTCAACTTCTCTCTAGACTGTGGGTCCCTTACCCTGTCAACTCTGCGAAGAGTCCTTTCATTAAACTTTCCTCATTTAAACATTTGAATATGATATCTGTTTCCCGCCTTGACCATGACTCCTATCAGGTGTTTAATCATCAAACCATGAGTCTAAAAAAGAGTAACAGACTGTCTTCCATCTTATAAAGCAGAAGAGCTTTATAAAATGCAAATCTGAAGATATCATTCCTCTACTTTAAAACTTCAATGGCTCTTTGTTAACCCCCGTCAGTATACCCGACTCTAAGTTGCAACTAGACAGGACTAATTTCAGTTCCCTCTTCCTCTGAGCCTCTGCACAGGCACTACCTCCTTCCTGGAAACTGCTCCCCACCCATGCTCATCATTCAGACCTCAGCTCAAAGGCCTGAATTCAGGCTTCACTTGCCCCAGAAAGCATTCCATAAACCTATTACTTATCCCTGTTAGATGTTTGTATATTCTCCCACAGCAGCCTCCATTCACCACCATATACAGACAGCACTCAGTGCCACATTGTATTGCAACTGCCTCTGTGTCCTCCAGTAGACTGTGAGAGCTAAGCTAGGCACTGCATCTCAGATCTATAGGACCTATCAAGGTGCTTGGCACATAATGGATAATCAATATTGGATAGTTCCTGAATGTTATTGAAAAAGCTTGAACTGTCCTCCTCTAGTCATCATTGTCTCTCTTTTCATTCACTGACAAAAAAAAATCAGAAAAATATTAATAAAAATGTAATTTATATTTACCCACCTCGCATTACTACCTTCCACTCACTTCCTAGAACGTTTTCATCTTACTTTGTTACTATCTTTTATGACGACTTCTCTTGCCAAGATTACCTATGACCTCCTAGACCTTCAATGCAGCAGCTTCATTTCAGTCCAAATCCTCTGAGACTGCTCTGCAGCACTCTCTTGAAATGGTCCTTTGTCCTGCATGGATCACGGATTGCTCCCTC